ATGCCGTATTCTCTAACTATTTTCCATAGTGATTCGCGGTGGACACTATCAAGCGCTTTCTTAAAGTCTACGAAACTCATCGTTAGCCGTTGTTGGTACTCGAGACTTTGTTCTATGATATTTCGTAGAACGAAGATCATCTCTGCACATGATCTGCCTCTTCGGTAGCCTGCTTGTTCTTCTCTGAGCCTCTCATCTACAGACTGTTGAAGCCGTCTCAACAAAACAGTGCTGAAAACTTTGTCTGGGACAGAGAGGAGAGTGATGCCCCTCTAGTTGTTGCAGTCTGCCAAGTTGTCCTTTTTTGGAAGCTTTACAATCACTCTTTTTTGCCAGTCCTCAGGGACTTTAGAAGTTCGTTAACAGAGATTTAGGAGATCAGTCATTCTGTTTTAAGGGGGCACAACTTTTATTGTGTACATAAGAATGAATTATTGTTTTAATGTTACATCCCTTCCTCCTTTTAGTACGCTTTTCTACATATATCTCATATGTGGCGGACTCCTCCTCCTGAAATATTGGTTAGGCCAATAATAGAATATGCATCCTCCGTTTTGGACCCCTCAACTCAAGAAAACATTAAGAAACTGGAACATACACAAAATAGAGCAGTGAGATTCATAACAAATGAATATTCACATTTGACTAGAGTAACACCTATAGTAAAATCACTAAATTTAGAAAGCCTTCAGGACAGAAGACTCAAAAGTAAAGTAGCAATTATGCATAATACACTGAACCATAATCTTCAAATACAAAAACAAAATCTAATAAAATACTCTGAAAGACACAAAGATAAAGACACACTCCTCGTCCTATATGCTAGGATAAATTTGTACAAATACTCCTTCTTCCCTAGTGCTATTAGAGCATGGAATGGGTTGCCTGAGCTAGCCAGGCCTTTGGTACTCTGCCCTGGTTAAGCGATGCCTGAAAGAGTATTTTAAACACTGGGGCTAGCTCATTGCTTAGTTCTTTGAGTAATCTAGCTGGATGACCATCAGGTCCAGACGCTTTATTTGGTCTGGTGTTGGCTAATAGTTTTTGAATTCCATTTTCTTGTACTACTAAATTTTCTATGTTGTCTACTTGGTTCAAATTAAGAAATATGTCTTTGTCTCCTGGGGCTGAGAATGCTGATGCAAAGTATTTGTTTAGGATGTTTGCTTTAGTTTCATTATCATTATGTATTATGTTATGTTCATCTTTTAATAGCGCTATGCCTGTTGTTTCCATTTCTTAGACTTAATGTATGACCATAGGTTTTTGTTATCTTTAGATATTACATTGTTTATGTATTCACTCTGCAGCTGTCTGCTTACTTTTTGGGGTAGGTGTTTAATTTTTATATTCTTTTTGTAAACTTTTTCTGTCTTGGTTTCTTTAAATTTTCTATATAGGTTTTCCTTCTGTTTACAAAGCTTCTTTAGTCTATTATTAAACCAGCATTTATTTATTTTGTTCAATGTGTATGTAGTTGGTAAATGATTTTCTATAATGCTTTTAAGATGGGTTTTAATGAAATTCCAGAGGTCATCGACTGGTTGGTTAATGTCTTTTTCTAATAAGAATGTTTGTTGAAAGTTTAATGCAGCTTGATGTATTTAGGTTAGGTTAGATTTATTCCAGAGTAAGATTTTTCTTTTTGTTTTTTTATTGGCTACTGCTTTTATCTGACTGTGTATTTTTAGGATCTCATGGTCTGATAGACCAGGGATAATATCATAATCAACTACTAATCCAGGTCTGTTGGTTAAGAAGAGATCTAATGTGTTGTTTAATCTAGTTGGCTTTTTAATGATTTGATCTAAACTTAGGTTGTGTAAAGTTTCTATGAAAAGCTCATTTATGTCCTTAAGGTTTTGGTGTTTATCTATGGTTAGTGTTTTCCAATTTATATCAGGTAGGTTGAAATCACCCATAATTTAAAAAAAACTGCATTTTTATTTGTCTCATTAAGTGTAGTAATCTGATTACATAGTTCCTGCATGTATTCTAAAGTAGAATTTGGTGGTCTGTAAATGCTGCCTATTATTAGGGTGAGGTGGTATTAATTTTACAAATGTAGATTCTATTTTTTTGACTTAGGTAAGGTAATGTCTTCTGTTATAAGAGTGATTTTATTGCTAAAAGAACTCCTCTATGATTATCAGCCCTATCTTTTCTAAAAATTTCATAATTACTATTGAACATTTCTGCATTATAAATTTCAGGATGTAGCCAAGTTTCTGTTCCTGCAATTATGTCTGGTTTCTCACATTCTAATAAAATTTCCAAGTCCTAATGCTTTGAAAATTTATTACTAAGGTTTTAAGGTATTACTTCTTTAGTAGGTTTGTTTAGTGAGGCTGTTGTATTAATTTTAGTAGATTTAGGTTTAACAGGAGTGGATCTGTCCAGTGGTTGGTGAGTTTGTTTTGGGATGGTGTTTAGGATGTTGTATGGGTTAGAAGTGTCCGCATCAAAGGAATCAAACAGTCCTGATGTAAACTGAGGTAACCCACACGGTACACAGTGCCATGATGCATCTTTGTTGCCTAAGGCATAATACAGAAGTGTATTCATATGAAGACATGATGCATGGTACCATTCATCGCAGGTGTCACATTGAATGGCTTTCTGTTTCATGGTGCATACTTTTTTGCAGATGTTGCATCTATCTTTAGATCTAGGCCCTGGATTCGACTCTACATCTCCTGCTATTAATATTAACAGTGATAGGTATTTATTTCTACTGTGTCTGATTGAGAACTTCCATTTGTGATGGGTAATCTTCTTTAATGTTATGGATGTGTATGTTAGGTTATTTTTGAAGTTGCATTGATCTAAAGTGCGATGATTGATTATGACTATTTTTTCCTTTTTAAGTTTAGTGTTGACTGAGGTAGATCTAGTTCTGTGTTCAGCAAGTGTGTATTTAGTAATTATTAGGATAAATAGCCAGAGCAATTTCATGATACTGTTGTTTATTTTAGTTTTTAAAGGTCTAGTCTAAATCTAGTTTAAGGTTAAAAATGCCAAAGACGGCCTAAGTTAAGTCTAAGTCTAAAGTGAAAGCTAATTTACAATGATCCATATCTAATTCTAGATCAATATATTTATGTGTTTAACTAACTATGTAGAATATTACTATTAGTTATTATTAGTAGTATTAATAGATGATTAGTAGATCTAAAGCCTTAATTAAAGTCTAAGTCTGACTAGATCTAAAATCTAACTATCTGGCCATAACTATTGTTGAGATCTCTGATCACGTTTCTTGATATCTTTGGACACATTTTGAGATTTGTGGCCACCTTTCTTGAGATCTGTGGCCAACTTTCTTTAACTAACTGGCCATAACTATTGTTGAGATCTCTGATCACGTTTCTTAAGATCTTTGGACAAATTTCTTGAGATCTGTGGCCAACTTTCTTTAACTATCTGGCCATAACTATTGTTGAGATCTCTGATCACGTTTCTTGAGATCTTTGGACAAATTTCTTGAGATCTTTGGACAAATTTCTTGAGATTTGTGGCCACCTTTCTTGAGATAAAAAATAAAGTGGTATTGACTTGTAAAGTTTCATGCGTTTCTTTAAAACTATAGCTTAGTTCTCAACCAATGGTAGTGCTGGACAGTATAGGATGTCCAAAGACAGGACTCATAACTATCTTGACGACAGTCCGTAGCACATGCCACGTGACAAAATAGTAAGTCATCATTGACCTTATATACGTTAACATCACATAAACAAATAAAAATAATATACATTTGTTTCATTTGTAATAACTTGATAAAAATAAGCGCATTTTTAGACATCACAATTTAAAACAAAATGGTAGGTAATTAGTAAGGAAACAAATATTATAAATATACAACAATACACTGCAACAACAAAAGTCAAGTGGAATGTTGAATAACAAAAATACAATGTGTTGTTTTCACATTTATTGTTGTCTTTCTCTCCTAACTGACGATATGCTAGGTCAAATTTTTACAAATACTCCTTCTTCCCTAGTGCTATTAGAGCATGGAATGGGTTGCCTGAGCTAGCCAGAAAAACCAGTGACTTGGCAGAATTTAAGTCATTGGTTAATATGCATGACTAAATGCATGACGCGTAGGACGTAATCATCTTCTTTTTTGAAGTAACGTCTGTATTATATAAGATAAGATAAGATACCAGCGTTGATTCCACCAGAATGTGGTAAATAATTACGGAGAGAAATGGTTAATTCTATCAACAACATTTGTTATAAAGAGTTGTTAGTGAAAAGAGTTGCAAAAGTTGGTATTGAATAGAAAATACACAAAGCTGAGGCCTGTGTGAAGAGACAGTAGACCAAGATTTAAGAATCGTTTGTAATAAAGTAGTGAGAGATGGAGCGGCTGAATTTCACATTCAATACTTTTGATAGCCAACCTGGCAATGACGATTTAAGCCCACAAGCTTCAAAATTATAATTCCAAACTAAGGCTGCACCACAATTTGTTTTCCATGGCTAACCTATCAAGTGGCCAAAAAAACATTTTTTTTCCATTGCTAAACCTTCAAGCGGTGAAATAAGCTTGCGGATTTCTCTATAGAAAAAAGTCAAGTTCTCCTTTCAGACCTTGCGATCTATAGGGCAGATGATGTAAAGGTCATCTTTTTTTTTATGGCCCGCTGTTAACGGGGGTGTCATGTGGCCAGCACAATTACCAACCGCCTTTACTTTTCCCCAACTAATGTCAGGTACCCACTAGAGCTGGGTGAACTAAGAGGAGCCCTAAAGATCCCGAAATTCGAAAATTTTCAAACATGCTACATTTCAGTAATAATTAGTTTATTACCAAAATCTTGATCTATATTTCATTCATTGGTTGTATGTCTCAGTCGTCCAAGTCAAGTCAAGCGATAGGCTGTGAAGACACAAGCAAACATTCCTCAGAAACCAAATGCTTTTGACTAGCTAGTCCATTATTTTATTTTATCCATGGTACGTAAAACGTCTAAAACGTTGCTGAGATTGCTCTGCTGTATTCTTTACTTTTACAATATCATAATTTTACACACCCGGATGCTACTTTGTTAACTTGAGAGGGATAGTACTTTTGTTCAGTAAGTATTGACAGCAGGCGTGTGATGTGTTATTGATTTACTCCATTCATTGTAATTACATCTCGAACAAAGGGTATTTTGCATTCTTTTAAGCTTCTTGGATTATATCTCCAGTGCAGTGCACAAGAGACTTGTCTTTCGATGTGTCAGAATGTGTATGCTAAAAGTTGGTCTTTGATTCACATGAAAAGTACAATCTTTCTGAATTTTCGGACTCAAACTTTGTCTCTTTGCAATATATTTTCTGGAATGAAAACAGCAAACTTTCTTTCATTCAAAGAATTGAAGCCAATCATTACTGGGAAAAGTAAAGTAAAGTTGCGATCTATGGACTATATGATGTAAATGCCATCTGTTTCAGTGGCTCACAAGGGTGTCATGTGGCCAGCACAACGAACAAACTCCTTCAATTTTACCAAACTAAGGTAAGGTATCCTTGAGAGCTGGGTGGACTCAGAGGGGCTATAGATCCCGAAATTAAAAATCAGTCTTCACCAAGATTCGAACCCAGGACTCCCCCACCTGGTTCGGAACCCAAGCGCTTTACCACTCAGCCATCACACCTCTGATCACTGGTATGGCTAGTTTGAATTCTCTTCGATGGACTGGAGAGAGCAAGAAGTGTCCTGCAGTTGCATGTCCGTCAACTCAAAACGTTTCCTGGGCATCTGTTAATAAATGTCACGGAGTCGAACGAGCGTTCATGCTTTAGTTATCATTGGTTCCTCAAGGTTCAAACTCTGGTGCTAAGCAGTGTTAGTAGTTGGCGTTATCTGTCACACGGTGTAACGGTTGGCCAGTGTCACGTGGTAGTCCTTGCCATCTCGCTGCTACCATGCCTAGTAATCGGCATTGTCTGTCACAGATTGAAGCGAGTTGTGACCAGCGTCCTGCAGTATGTTGTATTCCTTGTGCTCGACATCCAGATACTCAGTGGTGTAATAGTCTTTAATTTCCAGATATACTTCATCATTGCGGGCAGGTGTTGGGGCTGAGGACACAAATAGAGAGATGATCGAATCCTTTCCTTTAATTGAAGATCAAAAGATAACAATTTATCATTGCTTCTTAAAAAAAAAAACGTGACATGAGAGGATAAGAGGCTACATAAGAGGCTACCTAAGACACGACTTTGCAAGCAATTAGGGCCACCTAGTTAGAAGAGGTCTCAAAGTTTGAGTACTTAAGACATGCATTTTTAATTAGAGACCTCAAAATGTAAGTAACTTGTAGTCTTATATTTTTAGTAATCAAGATATGTCTAAGCAATTAAGAAGAAGCCTCATATTTTTATGTACTTAAGACATGACTTAGAAAGTAAATAGAAGCCTCATATTTTATGCAGTTAGCAATCAAATAAAGGCCTCAACACTTATGTTCTTGATCAAGTAAGTATATACAACTAATGCATTTAAGACTAGTCAGTGGAGGACTCATAACCCCCAAATTGAAATATCAACAAATCTGTCACTATTTAAGTGTCTATATGTTTGGATGGATCATTTAATAGTGAAAAAAATATTTACAAAAAAAAACCAACTTAAAAAAGTGAAATTTTTCACAAAAACAGGGTAAAATAGTCAAAAAACTAAAAAAAATACATGAACACACATGTCAAGATATTTTAGTATCTAATAAATATTTTCAAATGAAATTTGCACAGTGTCTTCAGCATGTTATTCCAATCATATTGAACTACAATTATTACAATCAGAGAGAACACTTTTTTTAAATGAATTTTTTTGTGTGGTAACCATAAAACTGTCGAAACTGGTTGGGGTAGGGGTAAGTATTGAGACCATAACTTTAAAACTACTAAATAGATTGTAATTCTGGTAGCATGTTTTGATTCAATATGGACATAGAACAAAACTTCCAAATTTCAAAGCTCTAGCTAGCATAGTTTTTGTGGAAAGTTGACAAAACCAACCAAAACATTTTGAAAAAGCAGATTTTGAGAAAATCAAGAAAAACCACAATATCTATGAATAATAAAAACAAAAACTTACAATTAAAAGCCTCCTGGTAAATATTCTTCATCCCTAGCATCCTCTGCATTTGAATGAATGTTTTTTTTACACCTGGATATCATTTTTGATATATTTTTTGCATTTAAGGATGACAAAATTCTTTTCTTGTCCGCGGCGCGAAATGATGTTTCAGCATAATATCCGAATTGTAATCCCAAAAGTGGAAATATCTGCCTTCGTCCAAGTTCCCCATCATTATATACAATTGTTGCATCATGAACAGCTATCTCAAGCCTTTTTCTTCCAACAAATTGGTTTTTGGGGCATCTTTTCCATATTAAATTATGGAACGACTCGTTAGCATTTTGCGTGCCACCATGTAAACACTTTTGCAACAGTGCATCTGATGTTAACTCTTCAAATATTGGTTTCATAGCATCAGTAATATATTTGGGAAGTTTATTTTTGTTTGCCACTGCTATGTTTTGTTCTTTTGGACACCAATGGCCACAATCACTGTGGTCTCCACACCTGTGTTTCCAAATTGCCCAAATTGCCTTTTTCATCTGTAGAAGGTTGTTGGTATTATTTCTAATGGCACCACCATAATGGCCCTGGATTCTTAGAATTGTTGCTTGAGTAAGCCTTTTTACTCCTCCCATCCCTTTGTAGTGTTTGCCATCTTCTTTAAAAACTTTTCCTTTGTTAGAATTCTTTAGGTCCATAAGTCGACGTCCCATTCTTTTCTGTACATGACCGCAGCATTCCAACTTTTCAATCGTCTTACTGGGGTATATTGGTGGATCTGCATCTGCAACAGTTTTATAGCTTTTTGAGTCACCATCTCCCAAATAGCCTGTATAGTTTAAGCCGTACATCTGTGAACGTCGGAAAGTTTGTAGGATCCCTTGTGATTCCATCGCACCAGAAGAGCCTGTGTGATTAGCGTCACATTCAGCTGCGTGGTTTGCTTTCCAAGCTACAAACTTTTCAGGAGTAAGTTTCTTTTTGCTTTTGCAACATTTATCACAATAGTTACTGCTGGTAAATGTGTCTATTACTTTAGGAGCACCTCCAGGATTAACGGAAAGTACAGTTGCAACTCCATTTTTTGACACGAAACCACGCCTCTGCCATGTTCCATCACACGACACAGTGACATCCGATGATGGCTGAGAAGATTTGAATTCTTCTGCAGCTGCTTCTTTGCATTTTGTAGCAACTGTCTTAGTGGCTTCTAATATTTTATTTCTAAAATAATTGCTTCTTGTAATGCTTACCGGTGGTGGCATGTTCATATTCGCTAGAAATTTGTTACCTTGTTCATAATGGCATCCAATGGAAAACATAGACAGTTGAAACCTTAAATTTATATTTTCCTTAGAACTTTGAAGCATGAAAACATGTTTGCAATCCAGGCACACAAAGGATATAGTACAGTTAAGTCCAGTGTTTCTTTCAGTAGCTTGAAAACCACAATGCTTTTCACAATTAGAGCAAGGAAATTGATTCACAAAACACAATAAAATTTGAACATCAAACATGCGGTATCCAGTCATATCATCCAAATAAATGTTGTCCTGTTGAACACTATCATTTAATTTAATAAATGAACTACTTTCAGGAACATTTCCAGTGTTAGTAGCATCAGGATTTACTGGATCTAGCTCTAATATGTCCTCAGAAACAGGTTGAATTTCACTGACTTCAGTCTCGCTAGATCTAGACTTAATTTCAGTATCATGATCATCTAGATCTAGACTAAGCTTTGTAAAAAACCTATTACCATGGAATTTCCTTTTCTTAGGACGATCTTTGCGTGGTCTAGGCATTGTTATTTTTAAATAATATTAATTACAATAAACTAAAACACACTTGAATGAATACAAGAGTAATATAATGTAGAGAAATAAACTGTCACAGAACACCAAGAAACGTGGGTAAAAATAGTAAACAAAATGGCTGCCAAAGAGGCTTTGTAAGAAACGTTCTGATTGGTTGGATAGAGAGATAATATAAGAATCTATTTAATTTCAACCAATAAAATTGAAGCTTTTAACTAAAATAAGGCTTTAAAAAAATGTATCTTGTTTTAAAAAAAGAACTGTAACAGTGAAAAAAATTTTAAAATCGGATAATTAGAAAAAAAGTTATAGTATTTTGAAAATTAGACACTGTCTATGCATATTTAATGAGGCAAAAGCAAACATTACTCATGTTTTATTTTAAATATTTAAAATATTTATTAATATTTTTTCTAAAAACAAATTACAGATTATTATTCAGAATTGGATACAGTTTCTAATTAACGTAAAAGCTCAATTGAGATAATTTTGAAAAATAATTATGTTTTCCTTAGTTTAACCTGCCCTTCAGCCTTAGCTAAGCAGCAGAGGAAGAATAAATAATGTACTTTATCCTCTATTCCACTATAGACATGACTTAGCAAGTAAGGAGAAGCCTCATATTGTACGCACTTGAGACATGTCTTAGCAATAATATAGGGGCCTCAGCACTTGTATACTCGGTCTCAACGTAGCAAAAAACTAATGCATATAAGACTAGGCTTGGCGAGTCAGTGGCGACCTCATATCCAAAATAGTTTAGACTTAGCTAATGGCCGAATAACTTACGTGCTTCGTCGTCTAATCCACTATATGTGTAGGAGCCGCAGTCTCGTTGTTCAGGGTAGCTGTACATGTTGTCATTAGCTAAGACTCTGTAGATATACATACAAAGTATTCATAACCCAATCACAGAATTAGGTGACCGCAGTTGGCTTTAGTTTTATATTGAAGAGGGGGTTTTAACCTTTAAAGTCACTAGTGTGATGAATTCAAGTAAATACCTCTGAATAGAGTTTAACCTTAAAACTTTCTGGAGGGTTTTTTAAAAGTATTGTTTCATATTAGACAGGGGGTTTTTAAACGTGAAAAAAACCCTCAGAAGTGGAAGTTTAATCTCAACGCCCTCCTTGGTTACGCTGGGGCAGGTGATGGTTTAACATTAAAATCTACGCTCATGCTGTGCAGTGGATACACCGCACTAAAACATGAGATATATCAATTGTAGGAAGACCCACCAATAGTGACCGAAATAAAAAAAAAGAACAGACTACGGTTGGGCAGGTCACCTTGAAAAGAATGTCAAATAACAGAGGATAGAAAACCGTATACAGGCAAAAAACAACAACAAAAGGCAGGCGACCCAAAGTCAGACCACGAATACGATGGATTGATGATGTGGAAGCAGATCTGCTTGGGGTTAGGGCGTGGAGACGAAAGGTTCAGCAGGAGAGATCTGAATGGAAGGATGTGTTGAAGCAGGCCAGAGCCCTCCATGGGCTGTTGCGCCACTGGGATGGATGGATACACTTTTTAAATAGAAACATTACACGTAAAGTAAC